AATAATGTAATCAATTTCATAATTTAAAAGTTTAGTGCAGAAGTATCGAATCGGTATCGATATCGACGATACTGCCTTGAAAAATATCGGTATCGTATCGAAAACAAAATAAGGGGTATCGCCCATCCCTATTTTGTACCTTTGTAATACAGTAATAACCACCAATTGCAGGTGGTGATGAGAAAATCACATAATGCCCATCACAAGCAACTTTTAAATAATAACATATCAATGTCATTCACACAAACGTTAAACACCATCATGGTAACACACATGAAACTGAAATAATTTTCAACATTTAACAACATTAGATGTAACACACAACCCTAATATACAAAACTGATAAGAAAAAACTAAGAATAAACATAGTTATTTCAACAAAAAAAACATCAAATTTTAAATGTAACGCAGGGAATTCTGGGAATGTCAATTTATGGTTATTCACTGTAAATTATATGGTATTTTTCACTTCCAAAAACTGTATACTTCCATAAAATTAATGTCCAATACATGTAATGTCCAATACAGCTTTTCACCGAATATAGTAGGGGAATTTACCGTTAACCATTTAACAGGTTTATACTGTAGCATTTTTACAGTCTTTTACCGTTAAATTCACGGTCATTTTTTACAGTGTATGCAAGTCAATGGGGACCAGCAACTGAAGGTGAACTATCCCTTTAATGTAATATATACACTTATATACATATATATTATATACATATACACAAATGTATACATTTTCTTTGTATTTTTATGTACTTATATATAGAATACCTAGGTAGCACTTTACAATAAGGTCTCATTCACTGACATTAGTTAATGCATTAACGAACATGAACTAACAATGAGCAATATATTTTTAAATCATTTATTAACCTTTGTCAATGTTCATTAATAACAATGTTCATGTTAGTTCACAATTAGACATGTGCCGGTATTCGGTAATGCATATATATCACGGTAATGAATATGCACGATATTGTTATCGTGGGCACTTCTAAATACCGTGAATAATTATATATTACAAATTATTCCGAATTTTGAATGCATTTTAAGAATACTTTTCCCATCAACTGGTCAAAATGCACAACACCGCTGTATGCTGCGCGAAAGAGGCGTGCTCTGATGTAATAATCTGTGCGCTATTAGTATTGACAGGTAGGTTCTGCTGTCAGTTCAGGAAAATTGTAATGATTCTCTTAAATGGCAAGAATACCATAGATCAATTACATATCTTTGTGGGCAGTGGAATAGGGGGTTGTTGTATGTACCGTATCAAATTGGCATCTTGTATCTTGTTGATTTATACAGTTGTGGCTAGCCTCCAAATGTCATTTAACCCATCAGTTGAGTCATCTGTTAGAAATAGTGAGGAAAAAATGAAATACAGCAAAAGGGATAGTTGAAAAAAATTAAGATTCTTCCTCATGTTGTTTCAACCCTGTTTGACTTCATTGCTTCTGTGGAACAGGAAGAAAGATGTTTCATCCATATAATGGAAGTCAAAGGTCACCAAAACTGTTTGGCTACCAACGTTCTTCAAAATATCATCTTTTGTGTTCTGCAGAAGAAAGTAAGTCGTACAGGTTTGGAATGACATGAGGGCGAGTAAATGATGACATAATTTTCATTTTTGGGTGAAGTTGTGGAATATACAGAGGGATGAATTCACTAAATAGTTTTTCAGGGCAAAAACATGTGTCTTATTCACTAACCACATGTAAGTCAGTTTAATCAGGTGCTAAATTGACTGTGCTATTCCCATCCACAGAAAGCAGGTGGTATACTGAATATTAGTTAAAAAGAGGTGTTATTCTACATTTTTACTGATCATGGTAGCAGTAATTCATCAAATCATGATCATTTGTTGGAAAAGAACAATATAAACAGGTACTGTTGGCATTCTTTTGGCTTTCAGAAGAGTCCCAGTAAAGTATGGCAGAAGCATGCAGTAGTTTGCTGCAAACAGAGAATTCTGCCATGCAGATTCCATTGAGTGTTGAATTCAGTGCTAAAACAATGCAGACATCACTAACAAACAATACTTTCAGACAATGTAGTCCATGCTTAGTGAACTCCCCCATGATGTAAATGCTTTTTGTGAGAGTAGGAAGACCCCTGAAAGCTTTGGAAATGATGGTGATGATCATGATGATGTTTAGGTTTATTACAGTTACAAAAGCAAGAGACATGATGGCACAATAATGGCAGCTGGTATCAGAGGCAGCTGGTCAGGTGTGACCACCATTGTGTCCTTCTCTGTTTGTCTGCCTGAATGCAAATCCACCCCCTCTTCATCTCCTTCCCTCTGGGCTTCCCGTGCAGGTACACGGCTGTTGCCATGCCGATGTTGTACAACACACGCTACAGCTCCAAGAGACGAGTCACGGTAATGATCTCGGTGGTTTGGGTGCTTTCGTTCGCTATTTCCTGCCCCCTGCTGTTTGGATTAAATAACACAGGTAAATGTCTGAGTTTAATTTATTTCCCTAACATTCATAAAGGAACAGTTCACACAAAAATTATTTACTCATCATAATAGCATTCCAATGCTATGTCCAATGGCCCAACGTCCGTAATTCCATTGTTAAACCATGTCTTACTCAAACATGATGCAGTACGATTCCAGCAACTAGCAATTTGTTTGTGCACACCAGACATGACATGGCTATGTTACGCAACAAAATCGATAAAAAAAAATCACAGCCAATCAGAAGAACGTTTGGGCAGTGCACTGCACTCGATTAGTACATAATCTAATTCATAAATATTAAACCATTTTTGGTTACACTTTACTTGAAGGGGTGTGCATAAGACTGACATGACACCTTCATAATCATAACATGACACCTACATAATCATGACATGACACATGTCATGAATATGAAGGGTTTTTTATGCATATTTATGACAACTGTCATTAAGTGTCATTCGCTCAGTTATGTAATTTTGAATGCAAAGATGACATTGTTTGAGATGCCTTTGTTATGGGCTATTGTTAGGGGTAAGGGTAGGGGTAGGGGTAGGTCAAATAATGTCATATTTGCATTACAAATTACATAGCTGATCGAATGAGACTTAATGACAGTTGTCATAAACATGCATAAAACCTCCTTCATATTCATGACATGTGTCATGTCATGATTATGAAGGTGTCATGTCAGTCTTATGCACACCCCTTCGAGTAAAGTGTTACCCCATTTTAAAATTATTAAAATACATACTGAGTGACTGATATAATCTTTGTCATAAAATACACTTGTTGGTTCACATTGAGTTCAGAGCTGTGTATGTTTCTTTTATTTTTTTCAAGATCTGAGGTAAATTAAGCATAGTTGCTTTCAGTATGACTATAAATGTCAAGGAAAATATCAAGCATTAGACCCTTTTAACAATAAATGAAACACATAATCAGAAATAATTTATATAATGTTGTTCTAGCTGTGACATCTCAGAAACCATTGCATCTAGTTAAGACAAAAACATGGAAACGATACCTTTTATCACATGATGCGGTGTCACATCTGGTTAGGACACAGTGTTATACTGTTATACTACGGTTACCACACCTCAAGGCATCGTCAGGTGTTTTATTTTAAGACACTTGTCAGGTTTTTGTCCTTAAAATACTCTTGTCCATAGGATAAATTTCTAATAATCTCATCCTAAGACTCCTTTGCTAATTTCAAAAAGAAAGAGAATGTGCTTTCCATAGATAGTAAGATGTAATTTCATGGCAAAAACAAGGAAATGATTTGTCATTTTTATCCTGATGTTTGTTATATTTAGTTGCTTGATCAATGTCTTGGTAAGTTTTGGATCTTTTGCTGTTGTAGATTGTAAGGACCTTTAAATTAACTGAAATCATTTCATTACTGAAATCAAATTTCCAAGTGGATGCTGTAATGCTGTCAAGACCTGCCTGAAACTACTTTAGCTGTGTGTTTTCTGAAAAATAATTGCACACCTTAGAACAGGGATCCTCAAATCTGGCCCACGAGATCCACTTTCCTGCAGAGTTTAGCTCTAACCCTAATCAAGCACACCTGAGCAAGCTAATCAATGTCTTCGGGATCATTAGGAAATCACAGGTAGGTGAGTTTGGTCAGGGTTGGAGCTAAACTCTGCAGCGCATTGGCCATCCAGGGCAAGATTTGAGGAACCCTGCCTTAGAACATTCATCAGCCAGCCAGAATCAAGCATTCAAATGTCCTGTAGTACAAGCATTATTGCGTGCAATTAAAACAAAACTTAACCCTAAACTTAAATCTATAATAAGTACATGTTTTAGTAAATATTACCTAGTATCCCTTTGTGTAATTACAATGGCAAGACCAAATATAAAAATCTTACTGATCCCAAACGTTTTATTTTATATATATATATATATGTATATATTTCTATGTACTTACATATACTCTATTTTCCAGAACAATATTTGCATTCAGTTTTGAGTTCACTCAACATCGTTGTCATACTGTTATAAATGTTCCAGTATGCTTCTAATCTAATTATAATCTAGAGCTAATTTGCAATTGTTAGGGGAAATTTGCCATACAGGCATTTACCAGTGCCTCAATGAACTAATTCGTTTTGCAACCATAATTAATTGTGTAACCATATATTCTCTCTCTCTCTCTCTTAGCTACACGGGATGATACCCTATGTGAAATCGCCAACCCCTCTTTTGTTGTCTACTCCTCCATAATGTCATTCTACGTGCCCTTCATCATCACCCTTCTCGTGTACGTGCAGATCTACGTGGTTCTTCGCAAGCGCCGAAAACGGGTCAACACTAAACGGAGCTGCCAGAAAACAGACGCTGATGCTCAGCCCCCTCTCAAGGTGATATGCACCATGTGCGACAGTAGCCTCAGGGAAAATACCAAGCACTCCCCACTGGACAAGACACTGGTGTCAGTGTTGTTTTACAAATGGAGTTGCCCTCTATCTAGAAAATAGGGGGAGCAGCTGTCAGTGTTAATTATAGAATTCCTGAGGTAATGCCAGGACCTGCAGGACAATGCCGGTGATACAGTGACCCCAAAATCTTTACTCGCCCTTGGATTCAGTATTGTGTTACAATATTCTGGTCAGTTGTTAGATTAATTGAATGCTTGATTGTGGCCAATGGCAGATATATATCTTAATAGGTATACTGATGAAAATTAATGGTGGTTTTATCTTTAGACAGTCTAATTTCAGCATCTCCACTGTGTATTTGGTATCTGGTTATGGGGGCATTTCCTCAGCCTTTATTGAATATGCATTACCCACTGGACACTGTGAAAGTAAAGATGTTAAAGCAAAAGAAACCATTGCCATTTTTCCTGAGCTGTAAGGTTTTTAAACATAATTCCCTGTGCAATTTATGTGTCAGAGCAGATTGCAAATATGATATACCTGTTACCCCTTATTCATATTCTATTTTCATCACAATACAGAAGAGCTACAATTTTTTTTTTCATTCTTCTGACCTTTGCGCTCTTTCATCATCGATTTCTTGCACCAGCTGGTTTTAATGGCCACTTTGGATCAATGGGTTCAGCCATCAAGTTTTAAAGGGTCCCAAGGACTTTTTGTGGTACTTACAAATTACAGAAGCAATCTCTTTCTCATTCGGCTTTTAGTGCTAGAAAATCTCTTTTGTGTTCAGTGGATTTATTTGCATTGTCTGTCATCAAGAGGCGCCAAATATACCTGTGAATGATTTTCAAGGCTCCATGCTGTCTTTGGAATTTAATGTCGACCACATGCTGAATCAAATTCTTATTACCCTTTCCACAGGAAAAGTGCACTCATCCTGAAGATGTGAAACTGTGCACAGTTATCATTAAGACCAACGGGGGTTTACTTGCCAAAAACAAGAAAGCAGTAAGTGTGCTTTTCTTATAAAACAAGTCATAAAAATAATTTGTAAAATATCATGTTATTTTGTAGATATATGTATGCAGCTGACTCTACATTTACACCATTACATCCAATATTGCTCGGTGCTCTTTGCCTCATTATGGGGAGAGAAGTGCAGTTATGAAACAAAATCTGTACAGAAAAAGGAGCTGGCCATTTGGAAGTCTAAATACATACCACATAGTTTTTATTTATCTTGATTCAACAGGTCTGGCAGTAATCAGGCCTGCGTGTGGCTAGTGAAATTTAACTCAGCTTTCTAAAATAATGTGGTTAATTGCAGTTCTTTCATGATTTAACAGGAGGGGGCAATTAATTTTTCACGTAGGGCCATGTAGGTTTGGACAGCTTTTTTCCCTTAATAAATGAAATCATCATTTAAAAACTGCATTTTGTATTTCCTTGCATTATCTTTGTGTAATATTTAAATTTGTTTGATGATCTGAAACATTAAAGTGTGACAAACATGCAAAAAAATAAGAAATCAAGAAGGGGGCGAACACTTTTTCACACCACTGTATATATAGTATCTCAGCTTAATATACAAAGACAACTAAATAATCAACTCATAAAAAATCCATGCCATATGGTGACATTTTTTACCTTATATTTGCGTTGCTTCTGTAACACCAAAAACATTTTTTTTTTAAATGCAAGGAACTGCGTAGAAGTGAGTCTTCATTAATTGACCATCTGCCCTGTAATCATGATTTGCTTGAAAAATAATACAAGTTGTTGGTGTTTTACTGCCTCTAGTGTTTATTTCAGCCGAAACCTGCAGGGAATTGTATGTATAGGTATATTTTTGGAGTTTTGCAAAAATGTTGGTAATTTTTCCACTGAGCCTGGGTTGTAAGACAGCCAGTTGATTTCCATGAAAAAATAAGGTTACACTTTATTTCGATAGTCCACTTTACACATTCTATTAACTATAAGTAACTTTGTAACTACATGTCAACTAATTCTCATTAATTTGCAACTACATGTCTACTAACTCTCAGAGTAGACTGTTAGGGTAGGTTTAGTGTTAGTAGAATAAGTTGACAAAGAAAGTGTTAGAATATATTAAGCAGACAGTCTACTAATACTCTACTAACTGCTAGTTGACATGTAGTTGCAAAGTTACTTTCTAAAGTGGAAACAATTCATCATTTGCAAATGTTTATAAATGTTTATTAATCATTAATACCTTTATGAGCAGTCATCTCAATGGCAAAAAGTGTCCCGAAAAACCTGAATTTAGCCTATTCACACATCTTTACTAATCATTTATTCATGTTTTTGCAGTAGCCAATCTAAAATTGAAACTATTCATCATTTGTAAATGTTTATAAACGATTACTAATCATTTAGTATCTTTATGGGCATTGGACTTTTAGCTACTGTAACAAGGTTTGTGTAAAGGGTGGCTGGTTAAGTTTAGGTAAATGCTTGCTAAAGACATAACCGATTGTAATTTTGCTGCAAAAAAAAAAGTTTTTATTGCCTCAATAAATAAGTGATTATGCCACTTTTACACATGTCAATGCAAATGCCTGTTATTTGCTAACTAGCCTGTTATTCACTAACTATACCTAATTATTCGCTAACTAGCCGCAGTGCATTTTTTAGTGCTAAAATTGAAAACACACATACGTTTTATGTAAATTAGACTCATTATATATTGCACTTCATTCACAAAAGTTGCACAATTTCCTTTTATTACAGTTTTTTTTTTTCAATTGCTAACAAGCGTTTACCAATACTTAAAGTACTTTTTCTAAACTCTTAACACAGCAACACACCTACATCACACAATTAGCCAAATAGTTAATTTGCTGGCCAAAACCACATTTTGTTAAATAAATACAAACTCTACGTTTCAAAATGCTGAATAGCTTTTTCTACATTTACTAACTCTTATCAAAACACAGCAAACCCGATTCAAAATCGAGTCATTCAGTCAAAACATTGGCACAGGTTTTCTATCCAATAGGAATATATATGTAATGGAAAGACTTGAAATTATTAATTAAGATTTGAATTAGCTATTTCTCAATTATCAGTAATCAAAATCATTCTTATCAGCTAATTTGTTGCAGAAGTAGAAGCTTTACACTATATTTAAAGTTTGGAACATTAGGTCTTCATTTCTGTCATGCGGTGTTTAAGCATTTGTAAAAAAAGATAAGAATGATCCATGATTTTGGTATGGGGTAAACTTGTGTGAAAAGAAAATTTAAGCATTTTAGAAACATGTTAATTGACTGAATATTGTGTAAAAACAACATGAATTGTGTTAATGGTATGGTCACAACAGACGGATGTTTTGCTAATTGTGTTTAGAGTTTTGAAAATGTGATGATAGATTGGACAAAGGGATGTTAGCCAATTGAAAAAAAACTGTATTACTACAAAATGAAACCGGGTGGTTAATAAACATAGCCTAGACATATATAGTGCATTGAGTGCATTTCATAGGTTGATTTTATTGCGTTTATAAAATAAATTAAATTATTACAGTATCACATTTATTTAACAACCCCTTTTAACACATGCGTACAAATCAGTCAATGAGTGAAACACACATTAATGTTACACAACATGATGTTGCACTTATTTCATACTTAATTAATCATTTCATGACAATTAAATTAAACCTTACAAAGAGCGCAAATTATTTAGCTTTTATTAGTCTCTATTTAATGTTTAGTTAAATTAAAATACACTTTATTTCTCCATCATTTACTCATAAATGAAAGTCTTAATTATGCATAACTAGATGTATATGTTAGATGCTGATCCTGTATATATACAGAGCCCCTAAGGGGACATGGTGATAGGAAACTATGAGATGGTAGAAAAATTATATTTCAACCATGACAACTCTCGCAAGATTTAACATGGTGATGGATATGACAATGTTAATGTATTTGGTCTTGACGGAATAGATCTGCTACGCTGCTGCTGTTGGTTATTGCTGCAGCTGTAGATTATTGCTGCTGCTGCAAGCAAGTACAGGAACTTGCTACTGCCAATGCATACGGTGATACGGTGCCGTAAGTATTTAAGACATACTGCTGCTGCACAAATAGCATATAAAATAACCCGTAGCAGATCTATACAGGTGGAGCTGGGGAAGGTGGAGGGTTTCAGTAAAAATCTCTAGTGAATGCTAGCCAGCCATATAAATGCAAGTCAGTAAGCTAATTTGCTGCATATGCAGCATGAACCAATCAGCTTGTGCCAAGTTGTTTAACTCTCTGAATATCATCAGTTACATTAACAACCCATCAGCCTGCGCCATCTAGAGTTTCATGACTGAACTATATATTTCAATCATGACAACTCTCTGAAGATTTAACATGGTGATGGATATGACAATGTTAATGTATTTGGTCTTGGAATAGATCTTCTACGCTGCTGCTGTTGGTTATTGCTGTAGTTGTAGATTATTGCTGCTGCTGAAAGCAAGTACAGGAACTTGCTACTGCCAATGCATACGGTGATACGGTGCCGTAAGTATTTAAGACATACTGCTGCTGCACAAATAGCATATAAAATAAACCCCCAACAAAGCTGAAAGAAGAAAAAAAAAATTTAAATATGTATGCTGCTGCTGTACAATAATATGCTTAAAATCATCCCTATAGGCTGAAGAAATATAAAAGGTAAAACCCCCCCAGAACAAGCAGATCTGTTGCCAAGACATGTACTGCTGCTGCTCCGGAGAGCCGTGAGACCGTGTGTTTGCTATCTATGTGAACCTGGGCTGGCTTTGCTGAATGGCTTAACGCTAGTGTTCGGCCGATATATTGGCCTTGGCGATATATCAGTCGACCACTATAGTGGACTATTGCTGTGTGTACCTGATCAGTTGACCAGATAGTTTAAACTAGTGGCTTAACGATGTGAACTTGGGTGCTGTACCCTTAGGTTTATTTAACTAATGACCTAAATACCTATGTGTGTCTGAGCCAATAGCTCAAACTTACCTAGGTAGAAATGCGCACTGTGTGTCGTTAACAAACAGGAATCACACTGTAGGCTGATAGATGAAGTAACCCCCAGCAACCACCTGGCTCAGGCGGCCTGAGCAAATAGTTTTAAATTTGTCATTCAAGAGTTGTATTTTTTTTCCCCCCATTGATGTTCATTAACGTTACTGCAATGGAAATACTTACCTTTAACTTATTAAACAAAATATTTGGTGAAAGAATAAATCACTGTACACCCTGTAGTTGTGGTGTCATATGTCCATGATTAATTCTGCCTCAAAAGCTGCTGTTCATTTATTTTGATAATTTAAAATATTTATATTGCATATAAGAACAATAATGTTTGCATTGTAAGAACACATCATTGCTAAATGCATGGCTCGTTCCAAGATGGTCTTGAGCAGGACACTACAGTGACTATATTTAAATGCAGTTGTCTGCTTTTATATTAATTGTGTTCTAATGAAAATTCGCAACATAAAAATGTTGTGCATGCTGCTGCTGAGAAAGATCTTGATGACTGAATTCCTGCAAGCTGCTGCTACTGCACAAGAGACTGAACTGCTGAGAGATCCATAGATGAGGCAGAAGTAGCTAGGCGAATGCCTATTTTACTCTAACACAGTGTCTACACCAGACGCGAGCGGCACAACATGACAAAGTCAATAGACCCATTACTAAAACTTCTGCTACTGCTGCTATGATAATATTCAGTAGATGCTTGTCACGGTGCGTGCGGGGAGATGAAGCGAGGACTCAATTGCAGGAGAAATGGTTATTTATTTGGAATAATAAAAATGAAACAAAAACAAACTCAAACCACAAAACAGACAAGCAGGCTCAAAGCTGCACCACATGCAGACACAAAACACACACAATGAGAAATGACGGATCAGCACAGGATGACAGACACAAGGAGAATAAATAGGAACCAAACGAGGGAGACACAGGTGGAGCAACTTAAACAATAAC